CAGCATCTCGAGCTCAGAGAGGTCGCAGAGGTACGAGATGATGCAGCGCAGCACGTTGCCGTGCGCCACCACCAGCACGTTTTTGCCCTCTGCCAGCCGTGGCTCCACCGTCGACAGGAAGAAGGCCAACGTGCGCTCAGAGGTGTCCTGCAATAACGGGTACAGCAGGGGGAGGAATAAGAGAGGAGGGCAGCAGAAGCGCGTTGCCATGCGCCACCACCAGCACAGTCTTGCCCTCTGCCAGCCGCGGCTCCACTTCAGACGAAACGATGCCCGGGTGCGCTCAGAAGTGTCATGAGGAATGCAATAACGAGTACAGGAGGGGGGATGCGTGTGAGGGGGGTAGCTGGAGCATGTTGCAAGCGCCACCACCAGGAGGGTGTCTTGCCCTCAGCTAGCAGTGGCTCCACTGTTGGTAGGAAGAAGGCTAGAGTGCGCTCCTGATGTGCCATGGGGAATGTAATAACGGGTACATGAGAAGGAATCAATGTCATTCTGAAATTCCCTATGCACATGTGACAAATGGTCAAGGGAGGGAGCATGATACCAATGGTGGCCTTAAAACCCGCGAACCAAATGTCCCAAAATTGCCTCGAGCTTTCTACCTTTGGTTGAGAGTTCCCTAGGAGAACTACTCGACAACCAATCCCGTCCTCCTATCCAACCGACCCTCCTATCCAACCTAGTAGGAGAACTACTTGGCACGCGGGTCACTACTTGAACTACAGACACTCAATTCTACTCTAGGATCAGCACCATGGGGTCACTCCATATCGAGTACAGCACGAGAATAGAGGCTCACCAGCAGGCTCTCCCCCTTGGGCGGGCGCGTGTCGTGGCTCCTCCGCCACATCGCCACCTGCTCGTGCCCAAACTCCTTCGCCGCTGCCTCCTTATTCAAACCCTGGAGTGAGAAATTATATTAAAAAACAAAAAAAAGAGGAGATGTGGAGGGGTATGGTTAAGAGAGACGAGGGGAAAGGGAAAAGACGGAGAAAGAAGTGAGACCGAAAATTAAATACCACACGCCTGCTTTTTTAGAACATCGGAAATCACCTGCAGATCGCCGTAGCAGCGCTCGTTGAGCCTGGGGTCCGCGTACACGGGGATCATGCGGCACGCGGCTTGCTTCAGCGCCTGCGCCGCGGCCTCCCGCAGCCTGAGGCGGTTCTCGTCGCCCGTCTTGCCGCGCCCGTAGTAGCCGCCGCGCACGATCACAGGCACCGCCTTGTGCACGCTCTGCGAAAACAACGGGCGAAAACGGAAAAATTCACGAAAAAAAACGAAAACAGCTCGACATGCGTAAAATCGCTTCCTTCGCCTGCGAAGTTCGTACGCCCTTTCCCCTCCCCACCCCCCCACCCACCAAAAAAAAAAGAAGCTGCTTAATTGCCACTAACGCCACATGTCTCTCGCCTGCTTAATTGCCACTAACTTGGGATTATCTTGGCAGTCGCGCAAGCAGCGCAGTCTGTTTGCACCGCACGAGCCGGCTCATGACACCCTCCAACACGCGACTCAGGACGATCAGCCGGGTCACGGCGCCATAAGACGCTCACCTGCGTCATCGCGAGCAGCGCAGTCTGCTTCGACCGCACGAGGCGGCTCGTGAAGATCATGTCGAAGTCGATCTCCGCCACGGACCGCCCGCCCGCCATGGCCTCCATCACGCCGCGCTCCGTCAGCGGAATGTCCACGTCACTGTGACGTGGCGGGTTTCAGAGAGAGTAGGGGATGGGCAGGGGACGATGTTTGAAAGTGGACAAATCCGTGGAAGTATCCGACACCATCTGCGAGCAGGAGGGGACATTCAAGACAGCTGACGGTTACAGACAGACGGGACGATCGGGCGCTATCAACTGAAAGGACACGGTCACAGGCAGCGCGCCACTCACCCGGTAAAGAGCTTCAAATCGTTCCACATGCTCTCGCCGTGTCGCATGAGCACGAGCGTGGGGTGGTCGTGCACCTTGGCGCACGTGATCTGCGGCTCCTGGTCCTCGCCGCACACCTTCACCACCATGCTCACATGGCGCGCCTTCTCCCGCGTCTCACGCGCCTCGCGCTTCTCCTCGCGCACCGCCGCACCGTTCGCCTTCTCGAGCCGCTCCCACGCGTCGCCGTCCGGCGGCCGCGCGGTCCGCTCCTCGCTCGGCGTTGCGGCGGGCCGCTCCGGCGGGGCGAGCCGCGCCGAGACCTTGACGCAGCGCCGACAGGCGGACGACACGGAGGACCAGCTCGGGGCGTCAAACGCGGACCCAGACCCCAGCGACGGGAAGCTTCGTTTCGCGAGGAACTGTGACTCGATGCGACAGACGGAGTGGCATGACGGCGACACGGTGGCGCAAGGTGCGCAGGCGCGAGCGGTGCTAGGCCTGCTGGTCGATAGCTTCGCGGTCGTGCTAGCACGGCCGGCGATGCCGGTTCTCGCGACCGCGTCTCGCGAAGTAAAACGAAATATGGCAGTCCTGGCCATGGGATCTGACTAGTACAAAGAGAGGGGTAGAACGGCTCAAAACGAAAGGAAGGCGGCCTTGAAATCCCGGTCGCTAGCGACTTCCCTGTGCCAAGCAGTAGCTCGAATAAATCGCGTCAAAGTACTTGGTACTCAGCGAAGAAGTAGAGGAAGTGGACCGCGCTCAAGGCTGCTCTGGAAGCTAGGAGCACTTTTCAGCGGTAGTGGTGGGTGGGAGGACCAGGTGAGCTGAACCAGTTATGAATGCGGGAGAAACAGAGGATTCCAACAGGTTTTTGGTTTGGCTGGGTGCGGAACTGGAGGCCTGCTTGGCAGAAGGAATGCAGGCATGATGAATTGCAGTGCGAGGGACGGAAGAAATGGAGGAAACGGACAGGAAGGCTGTTGTGGGCCTGCTCCTACGTGACACAAGTTCAAGCTACTTCGTGTCAACATCTAAAACCACTGGCAAAATTGACGGGCAAATCTGAAATGACACGAATTGTCCTGACGTCATGCGCGTAAAAACACGCCCTGAATGACGCAAGGCCGGAACGGAATATGAACCGGGGGAGAGGGGAGAGAGGAGTTTTGGGGGGGGGGGAGAGAGAGGAAGATAACAGTCCGACAGGTCAGGTTACCCACATGGGCTGGAATGCACAGCCAGGTGAAAGATGGAGTGGGCGGACGCGGGGCGCAACGCAACTGGAGGGAACGAGCGAGCGTGCGACTGATTGTGATTGTGGTCCCGAGTCGCAGAACGGTCTGCGACCAGCAAAGGGACGTCTCTCTGCTGCTGGCTGGAAGGGGAAGTCTTATCCGTCGTCCTGATTGACGGCTTGCAGTTTGGATGATGTCTCGAAGAGACCGAATGGATGTGGTTGATGGTGCGACGAGAACGACTCGGACCCAGCGGGAGATCTTCCGAATGGCTCGAAATTATGTGATATCATTACTCGTTGTGAGCTTCTGCCCGCGCCTTCGAAACGTGGCAGACTCTGACGTCACGACGTAGCTTCGAAATGCTGTGTTCGACACTGCATTTCTGGGTCGCAGAAGCAGCCTTGAATCCGGAAAATCTGAAAAACACACCAACCACCATCGCCATCCCCCAAACAGCCGCGCAGTCCTCGAGTCGTCAGAAGGACCATTACAGTCAGCATCGCCCTTCTTGATGGTTGTCGCACGTTCGCGCTTCGACGTGATGTAGGTACCCCTACGATGCGGGAGACCTCACATCTCTAATCACATCTGACGATGGTAAGAGATACACGTCAACGAAGGATGACCACGTGTTGTACCATCGAGGATCTTCCTGCCCCCCAGCCGCAGGAATAGCCCATCCGATCGGGTCGCTGCGCCAATAACAATTCACGAAGAGACGACCTTTGCAATTGCGAGGAGGCTTCATAAAAATCTTCAACCAGAGGGCCCGACCAGGGCTCTCGGTTCAAGGGTAAACATCCGGAATGTCAGGTACATTCCGGGTCTTTCCCTCTGAAATACTGATTGAGGATTTCGGACTAACAAACCTCCTGACAGATTCCGGGCGTTTCCAAGGAACACCCTAAGAAATCCGGATTGCGCGAAAAATTATCCTGATCATCTGACTGGCATGGAAACTACCCGTGCTGGAATTGCAACCTCACGCCCCCACCCCCCAATTCCTTCGTAACCCTGACCAATTTTCCACGCAATCTGAAGGTGCGACCCGTGGAACTTTCACAACTACAGAAGTGCAGGCCTCACAACCTTAGCCAGGTTGCGCACTGTCCCTCTAAGTTGTGTGCATTTCTGTCGCGATTAACTGAAGTGTCGAACTAGGTGTAGTGGTGAGGGACAGCAGCAGCAGCAAGTGTGTGTTTTGTATTCTCGTTTCTTCCATCGATGTCCTTCCTGCTTGTACTCGAAGTGCCCACAGGTTCCGCTGATATGTAGGGAGTCCAAAAAACCACTCTGAATTTCAGATTGAAAGGTCAAAGTAATCCTGAAATAAAGAGAGATTTTCCAGGGAATGCTGAATTTTCAGGGTCTTTAGTGACGCGAATCCTGAGACCGCTGGGTCTTGAAAAACGAAAAATTAGCCCTGGGCCCGACTGCCCTTACCTCGCGGGAGAACAAAATGCACCATACTAAACCGTGGAAAACCGTATAAACCACTGGCGTGTCCATACACGGATTCCAGTGCACCATAAAAGGATGTACAGCACACCGCATAATGAGATGTTGAAAGGGCCATATATGCAGCATAACTAAACCACTGACCATGCTAATGTTTCAATGGAGAGGATGTGCTACAATGCTCTTGGGTTGATAGTGTGTGATTGATTTCTGGGCAAATATGAAAATTAGGATTCAGGACACGTACAAACAAAGGTTTGCCCTTCTAAAGAATCCCATATTCATCCGGATGTTTACAGCTCATAACTCGCGTTTGCTAACGGCTGAACTGTGCATGTGAAGAAGTCTCCACAGCGCAGGTGAAAGGTGCTGATTTCCCACCAGCCTTCTCTCATCTCCTGCATCATCTAGTTTGCAGTATCTTGTAGGAGCAATGTAACTCCACGACCGATAGCCATTATGATTCATCGACCTGAGTCGCGATTCTCACACTGCTGATTTCACAGGCGCCATTCTTGAATTCACAGGACGCTAGAGCACCGGCTTTGAGGCGCGTCGAAAGCAGCAGATCCGACTCAGGTGGGTCAACGTTCGACTCCGACTCAGGTAAATCCGTGATAGCATCGTACCACAGCATCACCAGCAGCATCGTGCCGTTGCCCATGCGCGTGTGGTACGATGCTGCACTCGTACGATGCTGCACTCGTACGATGCTGTACTCGCCCATCCGCCAATTTAGGCCCATTGCCGAATCCGTTGCTCTGCTCGCGGCGCTGACGCAACAAAGGTATTGCTTTCCGCACGAAGTGAGGCTTTCACTGCTTGGTGGGGAAGGGGGGGGGTAAGGAGCGGCTTCGAGGCGCGCCGAATCCGATCCACGTGGTGGTCGCCGCTCGACGGAGCGGTAGGAGTGCTAGGTGGTTGAAGCGCGAAGAAGGGCTGCTTTTGAGTCGACTCAAATGTAGCGACAGGAAGCTAGGAGAGTGAAGCGCGAAGATGGAGGGGTGCACAGGGTTTAGGTAAAGCGGAGCGTAGCGGGTAGGCAAGGGAGGAAACCCGGAGAAGGAGGGGGCTCTGGTACACGTTATGATATGATGCGTTCTATTGTCGTGGTGCGCGCTGAAACCTTTAGATTGCGTGTGATATCGTCTAGTAGGCGTAATGCACCGCGCTTTATGCAGTACTGAGGTGCTAGGCACTAGGCGGCCTAAGAAGCTCTTGGTCTAGTAGAGATTGCGCTGCCACCGCTCAGAGGCGGGGATATAAGGCTTATATCCCCCGTCCCCCTCTTCCCCTCCCCTCCCCTCCTCCCCCCACCCCTCCTCCTCCCTTCCTCCCCTCTCCCCCTCCCCCCCAGGCATGTCCCCCCTTTCCCCCAGGCGCTGGCGCGCGGGGGAGAGGGTGGAAGTTGCTCCTCGGGGGGAGGGTTTCCAGGGCGCTTGGTTCACTGCCGTGCTGCTGGCGGTAGACAGAGGCAGGCGGATGGGTTCAGTGCGGTACGAGGAGATGATGGAGGAGGACGGGGTGACCAGGCTGACTGAACACGTCAGCTTGGATCAGATCCGCCCCGTGCCACCTGTCATTGATGGGGATGACCCTGCCACGTGGGATGAGGTAGGGAGGAGAAGAGTCTTTTCAGGCGTGGGGTGGTTCAGTATTGCTGTTGGTTGACGTGCCTGATTGCCGAGGATCTTTGACAGAGCACCCATCCTTTTCCGCTCTTTCTGCTCTTTCCTCCCCCTCCTCCCTTTCCTCCCTTTCCTCACTTTTCCTCCCCCCCTCTACTCTCTCCCAGGGCCATCCCGTGGAGGCGTGGGACAATGATGGCTGGTGGGTCGGCACAATCGTTGGCCGCGACTTCAGGCGCCGAACCATGCCCCATCCCGAACCTCCCGGTGCCGTGCCTGGCGCTAGGCTCGGCACCGAGGCTGACGTGCTGGCGTTCAGGGTGTATTTCCAGGGATCAACGGAGCAGAAGGTGTTTCTGGCCCGTGACCTGCGCACGAGAATGGACTGGCTTCATGGCAAGTGGATCTCTCTGGGGCCCGTGGCTGCTGACGCTGACGCTGCTGCTGACATGTCTCCTTCGTCTGCTGACGCTGCTGCTGCTGCTGCTGCTGCTGCCGGTGATGCTGCTGCTGCTGCTGCTGCTGCTGCTGCTCCTGCCGTTACTGCCGCTGTAACTTCTGCTGCTATCACTCATGTAGCTATGGGTATTGCTAATGTATCAGCTTGTGCTGATGCTGTAACGGATGCTGTAACGGATCCTGAAGCTGATGCTGTAACCATGCAAGACATGGCAGCCGGAGGAGGAGCAGCGGGAGCAGCAGCAGAGGAAGGAGGCAAGGCAGCATTACTAGCTGATGGAAGAGGGGCTTCTTTGGCTTCAGGGCCCGAGACTCAGGCGGGGGAGACTCAGGCGGGGGAGACTCAGGCGGGGGAGGAGTCTGTGATGGAGGGGAGAGCAGGAGCCGAGGAAAGGGATGACGTGGCTGCAGCAGCAGCAGCAGCAGCAGCAGCAGCAGCAGCAGCAGCAGCAGCAGCAGCAGCAGCAGGGGAAAGAGAAAGAGGAGCACTACCAGCAGCAGAACGATTAGCTGCAGCAGCAGTAGCAGCAGCAGACGAAGCAGGTCATTCGCCATCAGCAGGATCACCAGCAGCGGAACATGAAGCAGCAGCGCCAGGAGTGAAGGAGTGCGTTGATGAGTGTGGATTGGAGGGCGGGGTGAACGAGGGTGGTATGGGGCAGGGTGGGTTGAAGGAGCAGGCTGCTGGTCACCAGGAGATAGATTCAGGGGAGCCGTTTTCTTGTGGGCCGGTGACAGTAGGACAGTGTGACATTAGTGAAGGGCGGGCCGGCGCCTGTGAGTGTGGGTGGTGCTAGTGATCCTAAAGAATGTCAGAGAGGAGGTGACGGAGGGAATGGCGAGGAGTGGGGTGGAGAGGGAGAGTGTGAAGAGAAAATGAGGGGTGGAGAGGGGAAGAGTGAAGAGAAAGAGAGGGGTGGAGAGGGAAAGAGTGAGGAGAAAGAGAGGGTTGGAGAGGGGAAGAGAGAAGAGAAAGAGAGATGGAGAGAGGGGAAGAGTGAAGTGAAAGATAGGGGTGGAGAGGGGGAGTATGAAGAGAAAGCGAGGGGAGGAGAGGAAGGGGGCCACAGGCCTAGCCACCGTCCTTGGCAGCAAGGCACGCATATCTGTGCACGTGCTTGGTGCAGCGAGAGGGGATGAAGGGGAGGAAAGGGAACCAGGCTTCGATGCGAGGTCGCCACCAGACGGGAGTGGTGGTGGGCGTGAGTGCAGGGCAGCTGGGAATGTGCCACAGGCAGTAGGAGGCGCTCCAACAGTAGCAGGCAGACCTGTGCACGTGCTTAGTGCAGTGAGATTCGAGCGGGTGGTGCCGGATGGCGGTAAAGGTGCGAGGTCACCACCACTCGAGAGCAGCGGTGAGGGTGAGGGGTAAAGGCAGGGCAGCAGAATATGCGATACACGTGCCAGCACCTGAGGTTGAGGGATTAGCAGCTTTGGAGAAGCGTAGAAGCACCACGTGTCAGCCCCTCAGGTGATTCCTGTCCGGATAAACCCTGTCAGGTTAAATCCTGTCGCAGATAAACCCTGTCAGGATAAACCCTGTCCAGATAAACCCTGTCAGGATGACCCCTGGGATCTGAGCGCTGCTACTGGTTGTTCCAATGCTGGTGCTGGAGAGAGGGAGGCTCCACTGATCGTCTACAAGCGAAGGAGGACAGCGCAGGGGTGGGTGGGCCGATGCCTAGACATGCAGAGACAGAAGATTCAATTCTGCTCTCAAATTCTAAGTCAGACAATTAAGGGGGAGGAGTCCCGTTGGTGGGTGTTTCTCTTGCAGAAGCAGCAGGTGGAGGAGGGGGTGAGCCAGCAGGAAGACACTCGGTGGCGCCTCAGGGCGGGGGCAAGCAGGCTGCACTGCTGCAGGAAACGCAGGGGCAGGAGGGGGGAGGCAGGCAGATGGGGGAGATAAGAGTGCAGCAGGTGGGACTGGGGGAGGGAGAGGGAGGCTTTCAAGGCAGTGCAAGGCGTCTAGGGTTTATGCCAAGATGTTGGGAAAGGGAGGAGGAGTAGAAGGGAGAGGCGGAGCAGAAGGGAGAGGAGGAGTAACAGAAGGGAGAGGAGGAGGTTTGAAGGCCACCTCGCATGCACCAAGCACCCTTCCTCCGTTCACCTCCAGCACAGGATTGAAAACGAAGGCAGCAGCAGCAGCTGCTTCTGCTTCTGCTACTGCTGCTGCTGCTGCCCCTGCCACACCCGCCGCATTTCCCACCACACCTGCTGCAACTCCTGCCGCACCCGATGGTGCGCCTGCCACCCCTGCAGCAATGCCTGCAGCGATGCCTGCAACGATGCCTGCAGCGATGCCTGCAGCAATGCCTGCAGCGATGCCTGCAGCGATGCCTGCAGCGATGCCTGCAACGCCCATGGTGGGTGGGGAGAGGCCACGGGCACCTCCAGTCGCAAAGGCGATCTCTGAGGCGCCTCATGTAAGGCGAGCAGGAGGGGGGAGTGTAGGTGACAGGAGAAGGGAGTTGATTGGGGTGGATGTTGGGGAGCAGGGAGTGGCGAGGGTGGAGGGAGTGGTGGAGGTGGATGAGTGGGGAGAGGTGGGGGGGGAGCAGGAGAGGGCAGGTGGGGGAGCGGTGGTGGAAATTGAGGATGATGGGGAGGAGGTGGATGTGGAGGAGTTGAGAGAGGTGCATGGTGTCAAGGAAGGCGGTGATAATGATGCTGGTGTGGAGGAGGATGAGGACGATGAAGAGGATGACGAAGATGATGATGAGGATGATGATGTGGTGGAGGTGGTGGGGGAGGAGGTATGTGTGAGCATAGTGCAGCATAGACCAGGAGAAGCGGCAGTACCAGCAGGAGAACCGGTGCACCGGCATGTGAATGTGACATCCCCCTCGGGTCTCACCACAGCAGCAGGACAGACCAACTTCTCCACACTGGCCCTTACAGCAGCGCATGCCAAAGCACATCCACATGCAAGAGCACATACAAATACAACAGCGTACACAGAAGCGTGCACATCTGCACCTGCAGGCATGGCAGCAGCTCCCCACACACCAGCAGCACCTTCAGTCCATCACTGTGCGCCTGTTACCTCGCCATTCCAGCCAACCCTAGGAGCTGCACGGCTGTGCTCCGAGCAGCACATCGGCGGGGTGAAGAGACAGCGGTTCTTTGGCACCTGGAGCCGCCAGGGGCCTCTTTTCCACAGCCGCGACACGCTGCAGACACACAATGGACCGGGGGCCACTACTGAGAACAAAGAGTACTGTGGGGTGTCGACTCGATCACTCTATGGAGGGGGGGATATGAGGCATGTAGCTGGTGGGGTAGAGAGAGAGGTGGTGCTTGGGGGAGGGGATACGGGGGTCCAGGCAGTGGCAGAGGCGGCATACGGGGGGGTGCTGCATGCGCTGTGGGTGCAGGGAGGGGGAGAGGGCATCACGTGGGATAAGGAAGTGCTGCTGACAGACCTCCGCCGGGCTTTAAGTATTTCCAACGACCAGCACTCTCGCCTGCTTGCTGCTCTGCTCTCACAGGATGCGACAGCTGATGCCAGCTGGTAATTTGATGTCAAAATTGATACTTCAGTTTGTTTCATGCAGCATATGATTGTGAAGGCGTCTCGCATAGGCAGCGGCAGTGTGGTACTAGCATGAGAGCTACTACTTGTACCAGGCTTCCCACCAGCATGCGGATCTAGCGTAACTGTGACTTCTCCACAATGGAAATTCGACTCCATGCATCTTACAGCCTGCATGGCGGGGGACTTCAGGCATCCTTCGGTAGAGATGAATAAAGATTCAGTGTACATGAAACTAGTGATATTCGCTATTACCTACTGTACTGATGGTAGTTTGTCCACGTAGCTGCTGGAATGGCTCTCTCATTCTGACGGACTAAGATTGGGTCGCTGCCCAATCGTTGGCCGATGAGCGACTTTCCGCTCACCACGAACCGTTGCCCTTACACAGACCGCCACGTGGGGCCGCCTTTGCGTCGGATTCGTCGGAAACTCATCACTGGCCTGGCAGTGAGTCGGTGACGCGTCAACGGACTCTTCTCCATCAGTGCGATCTGATCGAGAGAGCTGCTTGGGTGCGTGGGTGGTGTGTCAGAGCGAACAGACCCACCAAGGGAGCCTTGAAAACTCCGCACCTCTCCGCCTGGGTCACTTCCCCCTTCCCCTGTCGGCTGTCGGTGCTCCGCAACCGCAACCCCCAGTATTCTAGTTTCAGTTCAGGCGTGTTCCGTGAGGGTTAGGTCCGCCATGAGTTCGCACGCAGTTCATACGATTGGTGAGAAAATACGGGCGAAGAACTTTTGGTTGGTAACCATGTTTTGTAACGTCTCAAAATAAAAAATCAGGAGGGATTTGACGCTTTGCGATTGTTGTAGATTTTCAAGAAGATCCCGAGAGCCTCTAACTGATCCCTTGGGTTCCTTGATATCATCCCCTTGCCTTTCTTCCCTCTCTTTTCCCAGATTCAAAATATCAGTCCCTCATCACTGATTACCTGACAAGTCTTGCTGGGCTTTTCAATCCAGGGTGTGACCACTCATTTTCTGGTGCGTAGTAGATTCTTCTTGCTCTGCTTGTTATCAGAATCATTTTCCTTTAGACAATAGTCGCCGTCAGCCTTGCTGACTTAGCAATCGTCGGACACGACGGACCGTAGGGTATCCGTCCTACTCCGTCAAAACTGACGTTTCCCCGTCAAGATTTCCGTCAACCTAATGCACCCTGTTTCCTCCAGGAAGGATCCGCGTCCGCATTTGTTTCTTGCCGTGGAGCCTTCACGCACATGACGATAGGATGAGCATCTGATGCAGCTGCTTCAATCCTCTCCTCGGGCCCTCTCTGCGGGCGATCAGTCATGGTCCGTCGCTTTCCTCGCTCATCGTAGATTTCTCCACTATGCGCTTGCTTTCTCCGTATAGTCGACGTGCCTCGGGTTCGAATCGAGGTCCGCTAGTATTTGACAGCGAAGCCGCCGCGATAAATCTGCAACGAGGGTTTTCTCGATGTTTCAGTTGGATAAGCTGTTGTATTCCTCCGTGCTCCATGAATTTTCTGAAGGATGCGGTGATGCGCTGTGCGTCGATCAGAGGATCTGAATCCTGCATGTCAAGATTTAACTTGCTACATCTCAAGTTATGCCTGTCCATATGCAATTTGTGCTTGTCTGTTAGTATCAGACTGCGTATGTTGCGATCACGTGTGTGCTCCTGTGTCATCTCGATCATGTCGTTTTCTGACCATCTCTCAATCTCTTTCTGCTCAATCGGATGTTCAATCCTAATCTTCCAGTGCTGCGACCAATCGTCCCTAAGGAGATTCATCATCACGACCAATGAGCACCATGACTGCTCGTCATCAGGAACGATTGTCCTCACGTTCAATCTTCCTCCTGACACGATCTTTCCCGCCGCTCCTCTAACATTTAATCTTCCTGCCTTTCTCAAACCCCCCCCCCAACCCCCCCCACCCACCCAGGCGTCTATGAGTGGCGTAGCACCGCTGGCAGCAGCATCAGCACCAGCATCAGCATCAGCCTCAGTAACAGCATCAGCATCAGCCTCAGTAACAGCATCAGCATCAGCATCAGCGTCAGCAACCTCAACATCCTCCCTCGCCGTCCGCCCGAAACCTCCGCATTGCTCTCTCTCCCACCGCATCCCGCTCTTTCCCCACCTCATCCGCCACCGCTGCCACGTCAGCAACGGCAGCCAAATCGAGCCGTCTGCTGTATACGCTCCGCCCGTCCTCTCCCCTAGACAGCGTTCCCCCTCGCGACTCCCCACGGTTGCTGTTCTCTACAGCACAGGGCATGCCCTGGACGGCTCCCTCGTCTCCGATCCGCTACTGCTGCCTCTGGTGCCGGCCGTAGCCTGTTCCTGGGACAGAGGTGAGACGCGGCTTATGGGATTCGTTACAGACATCTTCTGCGGTTTCACCCTAGTGTAGATTCATGCACTTAGACGTTTGCTTTGGTCTATGGCTCCAATATACTTGCTGG